TTAGCCAGCTGATTCTTTTGGCCGACGGACTGATCTGATAGAGGACCAGCCAGTTCAGAAAATTTTTTAATTAAACATCTTAGATAACCCGCAACACTTACAAACCCTCGTACTTCAGAAGTTGTTTTAGGGAGCGGTCTATCGCAAATAGCAGCGACTTTTTCAGGATCTGCGGCTATGCCGTTTTCCGAAATTAAAAAGCCAAGGAAAATTCCGGATTTAACAAAAAGCCGACATTTTGAAGCATCTAAAATGAGACCGTAAGAAGTTCTTAATAAAGATATGTGGGACACGGTATTACGTTGTAAATGTTGACTTGATGAACCCTATAGCTACAGATGAAATCTATGTACTGCTATGAAGGTCATGTGACCTGTCTAGCTTAGTTTACATGAGTAGGTGAAATGTTACCCCTAGACAGGAAGAATCCGCATATTATTTCCCACACTAAACATCTGAGGAGATTAACAAGTTAATTCAGATACCCTCATGAGATGGATGGTCCAAGGACGAGCCGGAGATTGCATTAATGAATTGTTCTGATCATGAGAAGCGGAAGATATTGCCTGCCCAGATCATGCGCTTTGTAATCTGTATTATTCTCCTCTTTTGATCATCATCATTTATGATATCTTGCTACCACAATGATCTCTTAATAATCTTTGAATTGTTAATTCCAAACCTGCATTGTGAACCTCGATAACCACCTTGTACACTACGGAGACGGCACATCCCACCCCTTTTGGATCGCGCCGTAACACTGAGCGCGCCTCATAGTAAGCAGGCATACAACTTAAGTGGCAAACTGCACGGTTAACCTCAACCCCAAATAGATGATACAAATTGAGATTTATCTGTTAGGTGCTGTATGGCTGGCATAGTTGGAATATGGGGAATTTGCCTGTAGATAGATGAAGACGTTGAAGCCCTCTGATGGTTGGGCCAAGTCTTTTACTAAATAAAATCGGAATCAATCCTAATGTGAAGGGACTTGACATTCGTTGTTCACAATTATGGGCCCAAAAATGAATTTTTATTTTATCTGAGCAGGAGAATATCTTCGACGCGCGCGTAACTAGGTTTGTTCCAGGAGGGCAAGACTGAACACCTGTACGCGGTGTCCTCTACGAACCTGGGAGTGAAATATTCTCCCAGAGCCAATTTCAGTCAAACTTCGCAATACCGAACAAGTTGGCCCACGAGGCAAAATTTCAAATTACTCCACCATGTCAAATATCCACTCCCAAAGAGTCCGATTCCTACCTAAGCCTCATCAAGTCTACAAGTACGACCTAGTACATCCACATTCCAATGACCAAACCACTTTCTGACTTTTTCTGGCCTCCGTTGGTCGCCAGATACACGCCCACGCCGATATTTACACCCGACGGAGGAAGCAAAGCGTGGGGCACAAATCTGGAAGACATTTCCTTGGGATGGATGTGAGAGGGATCAGGACAAGTTGATATGTTGTACTGGTGATGGCTAGGATTACGATGCACGAGGGTAATGATCACTGAGGGTGAAGGAAGAACTTTCCAGGTGGCTCCATGATGAGTAGAGGAACAATGGAGCACTGTATAGAAAGTGTTTCTAGATTGTACTGCCAGATGGAGGAGACTAGAATATTCCGTGATACTATTTTGGGTAAATGAGGCGAGAGTCTAGCTACCTCAGATGTGTATATAATTAGCGCTTTCTACTTCCTAAATCCTCATTGTTCTGAATATCAAATATATCAGCAGTTCACATTGATTCATCGATAACCATCCGTAAACCTTCTGCCAATTAACCTCCGTAAGCTCTTAACTTTACAACATGATAAGATGATGCAGAGGATGGATACGGTCTCGACGGGCGTGTATTTTTGAACTTAGGCAAGGAGTTTTTGCAGATTGAGCTTTGTACGTGCCAAGTCTTCGGCTGCGAGAGTGCAGGCGACACTATAAAAACTGCCATGGTTGGGTGGTGCGGTGGTACATCGTCTGGGCCGGTCTGCCAAGTAGAGTCTAGATAGCTTGGACACATATCCCACTTGAGACAGTAGATCGCTGCTTCAAATCCAGCAAAACACAACCACTTTTCTCGCGGCGCTGGTATGCATGGATGACTAAGGCATGCTTGGATAAGCAAAGGTTTTGAAATTCCCTTTGGTGGGTACTTACGGAGGAGGGTCGACTGTTTGTGTAAGCGAACATACCTCATAGTGGTATTTGCAAATGAAATCCAGAGTATGAGTGTCTCTAACGTCAAAAGAGTCATCCAACATGTATACATAGCACCGGTCATGTGTCATAGCTAGGTATCTGAATACACATTAAATGATTTCAAAAAAAAATTAGATTTTTTCCAATCGAGCGCGTTTTCCCGTGACACTAGCGCGCTTTTGTTCCAAGCCGGAGCCGGATAGTTCCGGATCCATACACAAGGTTACAGCCTGTAACACCTAGCTTCCCATTTCGCAATCTCGTAGAATCTTTCCGTGTCTGTGATAACAGACGCACACATAAAAAGTCGACACAAGGTTTACAGTCGATAGACCCATGGAAACTCGACGGTCAAAAGCTGGCGTGGACTCAATAATATTCTAAACTTAAGAGAAAAGTGTCTAGGAGGATACGAGTCTGTATATATGTACAAAGGAATCCATCAACTGTCCATTCCAAGTTATTAACACAAAACCTTCTGTCCCTGGTCGTCTACAACCCAAGGAGTTGGTATGAACACCAACATCTGTGACAAACTTCAGAATCGTAGTTTTTTACAGACTAAAGAGATATATCTATGTAAAACTAGTCGTTGAATGCTGGGAGTGATGGTGAGTCGGCCCATCGCTGATTGGAGAGCGTGTTTGTGGCCATTAGAAATGTCGGGGCGTCACAAAAATAGCCTATTTTTCCAGCATTTCCGAATACAGCGGCCGATCCTCCTTTCTCTTGTCTATGAGCCAGCACAACACACGGTTACTTTGAAGCTACATTATGTTGGAAAATTGGTATGGGCTTGATAAGTAAGGCGCGATTTATGAATAGAATAGAATCGATATGAATCGGTTGAATACGTGGTGAACGGCGAAAATAGAAGTAAATGAATTAATCATCTGTCTTGTTGATTCCTGGACAGTTTATATACGTGTATTCTTAATAGACCCAATCTAAATTAGACACTATCCACCACTCGCTCTACACTCTAGCAATGAGTCACACGACGCAATACAACATGAGAATGGGGTCAAGGTCGGTGGATGAAATTTCATCTCACGGCTATCAAACCATACCATACACTAGTCGAGTCTCACGCATCAAACACGCTCGATTGAGGACATGTCAATCAACTTGGTCGTGAGTCGTGTGTGAAAATCTTAGTCGTTCCAATCATAAGGAAACTTCAGACTCATAGAGTCTGAATTTCCAACGCATTACGGTCTTTTCTCAGTCTAAGACTATACAGGACATGCAGGTCCTCTCTACCTACAGGCCAATAATAACAATGCCTCCCCTACAGCCCCCCTCATAAGTTCTCATTCAATCATACATTTAGAGGAGCCGTTTGCCCTTCGCTCTCTCCCCTCTCCAGCCAACGAATCGATGGCTATATGTGGGTATATGGCAGCCGGAAAAAATTGCAAGCCCCACTGGGTGCGAGGCTCCTCTATTACCGACATCAGGACTAGATCCGAAGACATAGTGACCCTTTCGAAGCCTTCATACATGCCGACTAGTTAGGCGCTGCAGACTTGTGGATACCTCGGGAATTCTCACTTTGTCTCTCTAGTCTCCCTTCAGCTCTTTCCCAAGCATTTTGCTGAAATGTTAGAAGTGTCTTGATAAAGCGTGCTGGCTGGATAGTAGTTTGGTCCAACTTTATTGTGCCGTCTGGGGTACTAGTGAGTGTTGTGTACTTATTGCCAATGCAATCTTTTTGCTAGTTAAGAGGAGCCTTGGTCTTGGCACCCACAAACCTTCCAAAGTCGAAATCACCAGTAAATATCAGAGCTATCATTCCCGCAAGAGATCTGTTCCTTCTCTCTTTCCACATCTCAGCCGCTTTTTATCCCTCGAGTTGTATAGGGCCATCAGAGTGAAATTCAACCATAAGCCAGGATGCGAGCTTGGTATATTTTGACTTCATTTCCTCCTGGTAGGTATACGTAACGTGGTAAATTTGGTAGTAGGTGATTGCCAGCAGTCGATGAGGCAAGCTCCGGTTGCAATTAGAGTAACACCTTGATAGATAGACAACGCGAGGAGTGTTGCCATTGGCCCTGCTTGGCAATTAAGAGCCCCATTAACACGGAAAGTAAAAATGAAGTTATTCCAGTCACGTTCATGACGAGTCATACATTGACTAACCCGCCAATTACCTAGCATTAACAAGTGAATCGTGTCCTTCGCTTATTTGTGGTAAAGGGTTTAAATAAATCTCTAGTGCCATGTGGATTGGTGAACCGCTCTCCACTGTGATTTCTTACTTTTCAGTCTCTATAAATTCCTAGCTCGCTTCACCAGGTAATCTTAAATGCAAGTCTAATCGCTCAAGCTACGCAACCACACTTCCACTATAACAAGTTGATGGAGCAAGACTGAGCTAGAGGACTCGTGTGCAAACGACAAGACCGACATTCATGAGAAGCCGGCGATAGTAGACCTGCTTCTCTTGGCTAACGACATCGATTCAGATATGAATCTTCTTGGTTATTCCAGATGTGCAGAGCACATTGAGCAATTTCACCGGCACCACTTAAAGTGAAGGATTCGTCTTTGCCAACTCTCGATGATTGGTGGGGAAGCCAATTTTCTCGACGACCATCGGCTGTAGAGGATGAGTGGTACACTGCGACTCTAGTACTCAGATTGGTGTAAAAAGACGTAATCTAGGTGGTTAAATTTACACAACTAATGCCTCATAATCGCCCTACTTCAAGCCTTGGTTGATTGACTTTACCAAGCTGCTCTTTTGCTTAAAAGGAAGAGTATCTGTGCTTTGAATGCACCAACAACTCATTTCGATTTCTGGACTCAAATTCTACTAGTCTTGAAACCTCGGAATTTCACGTCACGAATTTCCGGAAAAATATAACTACAAGCCATTTGACGATGAAGCTCTTCACCATAAGCGGCGCTGTCACGCTCTTCAGCATTTTAGCGCCAGTGACAGCCATGTCGGGTACTACAGCCGCACCGCCGTTGGAAGTGTCCGACCAGAATAGAGACTTCCAATTTTGGTGTGCAGAGGGGCGCTGGTACACCAAAGAGTTTATCAAAGCTATGGTTGACAATGTCATTCCACTTATAGGAAATCCTGACCCGGAACAACTTTATCCTTCACAATTCACTATGCTTGCTTACAAGGTCCCCGGACCACTTTGGTATCAGCCGCTTTTACGTAAGGATATAATCCATGGAATTCAATTGCTTTCCAAAATCCTTGGACTTTACTGACAGCTAAAACCTCTTGGTAGGCTTTGGTCCAGATGATTTTGTCATATTCAACCAAAGAGGTCAAATTGCGGGCGTAGCCATCTGCGGAGAACATAACGATCGCTCAGTTTGGTGCGATCCCTGTCGCCTAAGAAGTATTTGTCCCCCGACATATCCTCCTGACACATATTGATATGACTAACAAAAGCAACTAGGACTTTAAATGAACCAGCAAGGTCGAGGCCCATAGGGCTTTCAACTGGAAGTCACGTGCGACGAGGTCGAAAAACATTCCTGCATCTCCAAACTCACTCGATAATTCCTCACACGCAACACACACTCAGCAAGGCTGATGGAACCGGTCGATCCCTCCAAGTCTCCAGATTAGACCCATAGCTATCGTGAGCCTGGTACCCATAAAGGTGTCATGTTTGTGTTGACCAGGGAATGCTAGATTCAGAATAAAATTGCCCTACCAACAACATGCTCTCTGTCGGGAGGTAGTGATACCGTCTTGTGCTGTGCTGCCAAGGATCGTGAAATGTTCTTGTTTGATCCTTGAGATGAACATTCATCTTCGCTCTGAGTGATGTGCTGTGGTGAATGTACCTTGAAATAGATTTGTTTCCCCATGTAGAAATCGTAGATGGCATAGCTTGGTTTCATTGACTGCCGTAATTATGGGATAAAAACTCCGTACTTATTAGTGGTGTTCCCTATGAACCTTCAGCTCTCACTGTAGTGTCTACTGAGCGAAGATTGAGTGACAACCGTTCCCTCCCTCTGATGAGAGTTCCCACTTCCTTCCACCGTCTGTATCATCTACATCCCTCACCACAACTAAGCGGGTTTGGCCCGTAACTGTTGAAAGATGATATATCCTAGAATGCCAAGAATAACTTATCTGTAAGTCCGGCAGATTCCCCGTCCTGTATTATTGACATAAATACAACCTCCACTGAAAGTTAAGTGCGCCATAGTAATTATCTGTCAAACATCTGATAATTTGGAACCTACAGAATATGGTAATGAGAATTATTAGACAGTGGGATGACACATCTCGTCGGATTAACTTACTCGAGCTTTGATAATTCACCAGGGACATGGTGATCAGGATGTTCAGGATAGTCAAAGCTCTAACTTCAGAATTTTTGATCTTCAACACATGTAATATATTTCATATGTAATTTTGGGAAACGACACGATAATCTCTCGTCGAAATAGTTCCAGATGGGTATAGAGCATCACTGCCTGAGAGGAGTTGAGGAGCAGAGATTTCATCAATACAAGTTTAATGTAACATTTCTCATTTAACCCTCAGTGTCTAACATTATCTTACACTAGCATTCCAGCAGATTAATATGTCTCGAATGCAGGTCATTGGTTTCTTTGATCGCTTTCCAACACACATTTAGCTTTATATTCCTGGCTTATATGTGTATGCGTATATAGATCTACATCTGCAGGCATCACAACTCATGATCCATGGAGATTGATAAATACTGGTCAAAAACCACAGTTGATAAAGGATGCGCGCACAAATTCCCTCTCTTTATCATCTAAGCTTACTCAAAACCACACATCTCATTACGACTGTTTCCACTCAAACCTTCCCTACGAAAATCTCGAATAAGAATTACTGTCTTGGTCCAACCGCCGACACTGATTCCGCTCTAACCTCCATCTTAACTCCAGTTCGTAACTTCAGCAGTAAAATCACCTATCCTTAACGCACTTTTGTTCCTTTTCTCTCCTCTGAGTGGCTTATCTTGACCCTGATTTTCCCCTTCGTCTTCTCCGAGCCTGTGCTTGGCTTTAAACTCATCTAGGGCTTTTACGTTTTCAAGTTCCGAGCGATCCTCCCACTTCGGTTCGACGGACCGCTTCCATTTGACCAACAATCGCCCTTTCCAACCTCGACCACGCCAAATACGCTCTGCCCGTGAAATCCGCTTCACTGTTTGTTCGGGTTGCGCGCCGAGACCCTCGGAATGCACAGCTGTCGGCTGTGAGTCGTCCTGCATCTGTGACGGCAAAGGATCTTCTCCTGCTCCGCGCAGTTACTCAACATCCAAGCAAGGCCAGATTTTCGAGACTACATCCAATCCCGTTACAAGAGGAGATATTATTCTCGTAATCGAGTATTTGGCATCCACGCATGCCAGTTTTACCATCGATGGCGGTGTTTGAACGTTCCTAAATATGAGCCACACTCTATCTCCTACGTAGGAAATAGATGCTGGCCTCCTCTTTCTGTTCGATTGCTCTTCCATTCTCTATTTAATTGTCGCAATTGCAGCCACTGCGTACTCTTGAGCTTCCGTTATTCTTACCCTGAAGCTTTCAGTTCGTTTTGCTGATGCCGATAGTATCTGCTCATTGGATTCTTGCTGGACCGGATCTTTTTGTGGTAATGAGCAGTGGCGTGTATAGCGATTATGGCTCTGCTGTACGTCGGTGGAGTGGCACGGCCTCATGTGCAATTGTGAGTCGCGGAGATGGCGTGCTCACGCTGGTTTTATGGCACGATGGACACTGAGTGCGTATCACTGTGGCCAATAGGTGTCAGTAGATATCAAATGTGAACTCTTACTGACAATAGTCATATATGAAGGTGACGCTAGATGCGCACCCCAACGATTCATTATTGTTATTTTAATTTCATTTTATTGTCCCGTCTGAGTCTATGGCTTTGTTGGAAATGCAGGATCTCTTTGCCTACAGGCCAAGGATACTTATGCCAGTAGAATATCCCCTCACATGCCTCCCATACAGCTCCCCTCAAACAGTACCACCCCTCATAAGTCCTCATTCAATCATACTCTTGGAGGAGCCCTATGCCCTTCGCTATCTCCCATCTCCAGCCAACAAATCGATAGCCATCTGTGGGTGTATGACAGCCAGGAAAAATCGCAAAAACCACCGGGTGCGGAGCCCTCCTAATACCGACATTAGGACTCAGTCCGAGGACATAGTGACCCTTCCGAAGCGTTCGAAGCGGCCAGCCAGCTGGGCGCTGTAGACTTGTGGGTACCTCGGGAAATTCACCTTCTGTCTTTCTAGCCTCCTTCCGACTCCTTTCCGAAGGTCGTGCTGAAATATCAGAAAAGTCTTGATAAAGCGTGATTGCTGTATGGCAGCTTAGCCTGACTTCTTTTGTGCCGTCCAGGGCGCTGGGGACTGCCGTTGACTCATCGACAATCGAAGTCCTCCTGGCTAGTTAGCTGAAATCTTGGTCTTGGCGCCCACAAAAACTCCAAAGTTGAAAATTCCTCGAAAATGTCAGTCCAAGAAAGTCTTCAGTGACCGCTTCCCCTTCTCAGCCGCCTGTCTCTCCTCAATATAAATAACCCCATTAGAGCATCAGTCCCCCATGAACCAAGACTCCAACTTTGCTTAGTATGACTTGATTTCCCCCTTGCGGGTACAAGTAGCGTCGTGAATATACAGTGAGAGATGGCTGTAAATTAATGGGCCAAGCTCCTGTTTGCAATTGGAGCAACTTCTTTATTGGTCATTGAGGCTAGATGATGCGTGGTTAGAATGAGGTTGAGGACTCAGATGAGTATGGTAAGAGAGGCATTGTCGAGAAGTTGACAAATCGGGATATGGATGTGCTTGATTTCGACTTTGATTCGGATGCGATTCTTCTTGGCTATCCCAGATACGCAGAGCATACTGAGCCATTAGACCGGCACCACAGGAAGGTGAAGATTTCATCCTTTCCGGCAGACGCCGCAAGTACGTATTATTCTAAAATTTAATGTTTATTTGTTACAGTCATGTCGCTGCCTTGATTGTAACAGTTATTGCCGGTAAACACGACTTATACAACTTTTAGCGGTGCTGGTTTAAGCGCTTAATATACCCTGTGTGTTTATGGTAGTCACCAAGAGAGAGAGGTGTGTTTACTGCTCTACTTGAGTGTTAGACTTTCTAGCACATTGGGCTACTCTCTGACCCAGGCCACACCTTGTACAGTGCTCCTAGCCTCTCGTGTTCCTTTAAAGATCATTGATATATTGCCCGTGATGAATTGCTATTCAAATCAGTGCTTAGCCATGGAATTCAGCCACCTTTTCCACGAAATCTTCCACCCAAAACATTAAGAAAATGTTGGAAATGGAGACAAGGAGTCTTGTGGACGTATGGGCCCTCCATTTCGTCTAGGTTCCCGACACGATCTCGTGTGTATTAAAGAGGTTGGAGTAGGTAATATGGCAGCGCTTCAGGCTATCTATTGGAGACATGAGCGGCTGTATGGCGTTGCCACAAGGAGGTTATTGGGAGTTTTTCCATGCCTAGACGGCGCCACAATTGTTTATGTTGTGGCTTAGACTACGTGTCGCTCGCATTTGTACTTGTAGCGCACATCTTCCACACTTTTAGCTTTAATCCGAACATGACACTCTTTTAGTCAACTTCTACTTTCTTTCCATGAATGTTGCGCCCATTTCATTGCGCGATATTTCCAACAAAAAAGAAAAGGTAGTAATGGAAACTGCGTGCGCGGGAAAATGTCCCAAAAAACCTGCAGCCCCAGTCAGGCGAGGCCCAGACACCAGGACTACCTGAGGTGCGCACATTCATCTATATCTCCTTTCCTTGTAATAGTCGAGGCCGGCTTGATCCAATTCACTATCTCCGTATCGGGTGCTGGGTACGCTCCGGAAACTCATCGGATGGCTTTTCCTCCATGATCAAGTGTTGGTGATGAGTAGTGCTCTGACCCTACCATCCGATCTGATCGTGGTTAGCTCCACGATAATCGAGATAGGAGGATATGCTTAGGGAAGAAGACGATACAGACCGCGAAAGCGATTTGGGATACTCATCAAAATGAGGATATTGTTACTCAATCCCGGCTCTGCAGACTACAGTTAGAACTGGAGGTTCGTAGGGGACACCACTGACAGGTGATGAGAATGATCCCCCCGGATAGTTTTATACTTCTTGTTGAAATACACTATATCTTGGAATGCCAAGAATTACTTATTTCAGATGAATATTTCTGAAATGCAGGTTATAGGTCTCTTGGATCTATTACCGTTGGTATAAATGTCCTGATATCACTTTCCAATGTTGGTCATAGACTAGTCATCGTTCATTATGATTTTTTTTTTTAAATCATTTAATGTGTATTCAGATACCTAGCTATGACACATGACCGGTGCTATGTATACATGTTGGATGACTCTTTTGACGTTAGAGACACTCATACTCTGGATTTCATTTGCAAATACCACTATGAGGTATGTTCGCTCACACAAACAGTCGACCCTCCTCCGTAAGTACCCACCAAAGGGAATTTAAAAATCTTTGCTTATCCAAGCATGCCTTAGTCATCCATGCATACCAGCGCCGCGAGAAAAGTGGTTGTGTTTTGCCGGATTTGAAGCAGCGATCTACTGTCTCAAGTGGGATATGTGTCCAAGCTATCTAGACTCTACTTGGCAGACCGGCCCAGACGATGTACCACCGCACCACCCAACCATGGCAGTTTTTATAGTGTCGCCTGCACTCTCGCAGCCGAAGACTTGGCACGTACAAAGCTCAATCTGCAAAAACTCCTTGCCAAAATTCAAAATTTCACGCCCGTCGAGACCGTGTCCATTCCTCGCATCATCTTGTTAACTTGTCCTGAATCCTCTCACGCCAATCTCAAATAACAGTCCCCCAGATTTGTGCGCCACGCTTTGTGTACTCCGTCGGGTATAAATATCAGCGTGGGCGTGTAATTTGTGAACGGCTGAGGCCAGAGAAAGTCGACGAGAGGTGTGGTCATTGGGATGAGGATGTACTCGGTCGTACTTGTAGACTCTATGAGGCTTAGGTAGGAATCGGACTCTTTGGGAGTGAATATATGATATGGTGGAGTATTTTAAATCATTGCCTCGTGGGCCAAGTTGTTCGAAAGTGCGAAATTTGACTGAAATTGGCTCTGGGAGAATATTTCACTCCCAGATTCGTAGAAGACACCGCGTACAGGTGTTCTGTCTTGCCCTCCGTTCATTATGAGTATTAGTATCTTTTGTAGAATAGGAGAATAGACAAGACCCACCAACCCAACCGCAGAAATGTGACATACAGTTTACGTTCTTTGCACCGTGTTTAAGTACCCCGACAATTACCGCCACACATGTAATCAACAATATATTCCTGGCTTATATAACTGTATGTGCATAGATCTACATCTGCAGAGATCACTACTTACGATCCGTGGAGATTGATAAATACTGGTCAAAAACCACAGTTGATAACACATGCGCGCCGGCAAAGACGAACTCTTCACCTTCCAGTGGTGCCGGTCTAATGGCTCAGTATGCTCTGCGTATCTGGGATAGCCAAGAAGAATCGCATCCGAATCAAAGTCGAAATCAAGCACATCCATATCCCGATTTGTCAACTTCTCGACAATGCCTCTCTTACCATACTCATCTGAGTCCTCAACCTCATTCTAACCACGCATCATCTAGCCTCAATGACCAATAAAGAAGTTGCTCCAATTGCAAACAGGAGCTTGGCCCATTAATTTACAGCCATCTCTCACTGTATATTCACGACGCTACTTGTACCCGCAAGGGGGAAATCAAGTCATACTAAGCAAAGTTGGAGTCTTGGTTCATGGGGGACTGATGCTCTAATGGGGTTATTTATATTGAGGAGAGACAGGCGGCTGAGAAGGGGAAGCGGTCACTGAAGACTTTCTTGGACTGACATTTTCGAGGAATTTTCAACTTTGGAGTTTTTGTGGGCGCCAAGACCAAGATTTCAGCTAACTAGCCAGGAGGACTTCGATTGTCGATGAGTCAACGGCAGTCCCCAGCGCCCTGGACGGCACAAAAGAAGTCGGGCTAAGCTGCCATACAGCAATCACGCTCTGTCAAGACTTTTGTAAGGATTCTCCTCCCCATCCTGACTTTTGTTTATAGTTTTACCCTTCTCCTGATGTTGCTATGACAACAGAACAGTTCTTGGCACTGTTCATTGCGTGGGTACTAGTTTAGGGCCTATGTTATGATGAACTAGTGGGAGGAAAGCAAGTATATGTATGATGGCTTAGTCTGCAGCTATGGAGCTCTTCACGCCTAGTTTTCTGTCACAACCATCATCCACGGATTACCTCTAGTCACTTCCTGTTACGGCGAGGGGTAGATAAGTTAGAGATCGCCGTCTACTGTACGTATTCAAATAATGGTTAGGCGAATACCTACAAGGGAATATACTGGATAATGGGTCTGAAGGTTGAGCTTAGAGGACGAGAGTTCGGGACGAGTAATATGACGTTTCTAGGGATGTAAGACTATGAAAGTATAAGATTGAGAAGCTGGAGAACTACTTCGTGGTAGCTCCAGCTTCTTTAAGTACACTACAATAATCACTTAAATCCACCCGAGACCGGAACAAGATTCGATCATGACTCTAGCCGCCCTAACTCCAATTTGTTAGAGTTCCCCAGAGAACCTTCTCCTTAAAACTTCTCCTTGAACTCTTCGGAGGACCTTCTCCTTGAAACTTCTACTTGGGCCTTCTTCAGGGATGCCTAGCCATAACACCTCCAGTTACCTCTTGTACCTTTAGTTACCATTAGTACCCACTCGAACCTTTAGACCTTTTAGCCATTTATATTACCCACCTTTAAAACCTTTAGTTCCTTCTTGTTATCTCCAGTAGACCTTCAGTCATCTCTTGCGATCCATCCGACCTCTTCTCGCCCTCCTATTACGCTTCATGTCAAACGCCTACGCTCCAATCTGACAACTTTTCTGTTATTTCAGCACGACCTTCGGAAAGGAGTCGGAGGGAGGCTAGAAAGGCATGGGGTGAATTTCCCGAGGTACCCACAAGTCTGCAGCACCCAGCTGGCCGGCCTCTTCGAACGCTTCGGAAGGGTCACTATGTCTTCGGACTGAGTCCTAATGTCGGTATTAGGAGGGCTCCGCACCCGGTGGTTTTGGCGATTTTTCCTGGCTGTCATACACCCACAGATGGCCATCGATTTGTTGGCTGGAGATGGGAGATAGCGAAGGGCATAGGGCTCCTTCAAGTGTATGATCGAATGAGGACTTATGAGGGGTGGTACTGTTTGAGGGGAGCTGTATGGGAGGCATGTGAGGGGATATTCTACTGGCATAAGTATCCTTGGCCTGTAGGCAAAGAGATCCTGCATTTCCAACAAAGCCATAGACTCAGACAGGACAATAAATGAATTAAATTACTCAATTTTAAGTGGCTATGGATATTGTATACAGACAAGGAGTTGGATTAGGATATCTAGGGTGGTCTGGCGTTATGGAAGCACTGATGACTTATTACTTACTATTCGCTTAATCTCATACACTTGGATATATGTATTTCGAATACATGGCTCTGTTCTTTAGCTTTATTACCTTTAAAACCTTGAGCTCTTGCTTGCAATGTTCTGCGTGTCATGACATTCACTTATCTCTGTACTACTGAAAACTCCATCATTCCCTTTAATTAGGTACTCATATAAGTGGGTTGTTTGGCTTTTGTTACCAAAATTTACTCATGGTGTAATTCGCAAATGAGATACAGTATACGAGTGTTTTTAAATTAGAAAGAGTTTTCCAATATTTAAATAAACAACTGATCATAGTTCACAGTTAGGTAGCTGCATATACGGAAATTATACAAAAAACCATGAATCGCAGTCCTGAGAATCAAAATGCGTTGCTATTACACGGTGAGTTTGTACAGTTCGAGAGCGAGAGATACATATAAATAGTACAGTATCCTAATCGTGAACTTGATGTGGCTTTGGTGAAAGTAGCTCTCGTCAGGAGCAAAAAATGTCGTGGCCAGGAGTGGTAAATCCCTGGCTCGTGATCCGGCTTGCTTGGTATTGTAAAATTTGACTGAAACCGGATCTAGGAAATCATCTCTCTCGCAGGTCTGTAGAGGATAAAGAACGCGGATTTTCCGTCCCTTACCATCACGCCCGAGTCTTATTCAGCTCCATAAGGGAACAAAACAACCTTGGAAATCCTACCTCCTCGGCTTCCTCCTTTATCGTTATGAAGTGTATGAACTCGGTTGTTGAAAATTTTCGAGTGGGCCATCTCGTCTATTACGAATCCCAATCCCTTCCGGCCTTTGAGCAAGAAAATCATCGTTCATATTCAAAGCAAATCATTACAGTAAATTCAGAGTTTATCAATCTCTGTTGGCTCAAGTAAATCATTCCGATGCATCGAATTTCGAGGGGCTAGAATGCGACCAACTTCTAAATCATCGTCTCATCTCTTCCGCTATGATACGCAAACAAACGCAATATAAGCAAACAAATCCCCCCATACCTCAATGATTAGTGGTGAATTCTGTTTTCTGGATGACTATCGCCTGTAGAGGATGAGCGGGACTCTGTGATTCAAGTTCTCAGATAGGTGTAATAAGACGTAATTTATATGTTTAAATTAACATAACTAATGCCTCATAATCGTCATACTCAAAACTTGGTTGATTGAGGTTGCCAAGCTGAAACTTGGCTTAAAAGGAACGAAGAGCATCTTTGTTCTGTATTCACCAAAAATTTAATTCGTTCTATGTACTTCATCTCTACCAGTCTTCGAACCTCAGCATTTGACGGCGCGAGTTTCCAAAGAAAATACAACACTAAGCCATTCAAAGATGAAGCTCTTCGCCATCAGCGACGCTGCCATACTCTTCTGCATTTTAGCGCCTGTGATAGCCATGCCAAATCAACATCGATCAAGACCGACACCAGTGCCCGATCAGAATAGTGACTTCAACTTCTCTTGTCCTAGTAACCAAATTTACGGCAAACATTATCTCATGGGAGTGGTTTCGGAGGCCAGACGAATTATGAGAGACTCTTCCACACAATATAGTTACCCTTCTACATTCTATCACTTCCAGTACAACATATCCGGAGACCTGTGGTATTATCCTCTGACAGGTAATGATAAACCCATGGAATTTAATTAATATGCAAGATCTTTGAAGTTAATAAACGTCTCCACTATTTTAGCAGCCTACGGCGCACGAGATTTTGTCGTATTCAACACATATAATGAAATAGCGGGCGTTGCTCACCTCAAGGTTGCTAATGGCCGACAAACATTTGAACCCTGTGATTTGTTAGGTTAATGTCAGCCAACAAATTCTCCTTACATGTATTGAAATAATTAACACTGTTGATTAGAATTATAAGTTGACGGATGATGTCGGACTCCAATGTATTTGCTGGAAAATGAATTATAATCTTACTAGTAACGATTACCTTAATTACGTAGGGGTTCCCAACGCAATCCCTATATCCACTATTCATACTCTAGTACCGTCTCTCACGTAAGATTTGTATGAACAGGTACTAGTGTGGCTCCTCTTCTATGACGAGAGAACACAGAATAAATAATCGCTCTTCCCCTCCGACTAATTTACTTCAAAATATTTTTACCACTTTTTTTGGTGGTCTTGATGAATACCTTTCATATACAAAAAAAATTAATTCATTCTCGTCTATATGTTGAGTTGTCAGGACATGTCATATAGATCACATGTGTTATGGCTAGGCATCCCTGAAGAAGGCCCAAGTAGAAGTTTCAAGGAGAAGGTCCTCCGAAGAGTTCAAGGAGAAGTTTTAAGGAGAAGGTTCTCTGGGGAACTCTAACAAATTGGAGTTAGGGCGACTAGAGTCATGATCGAATCTTGTTCCGGTCTCGGGTGGATTTAAGTGATTATTGTAGTGTACTTAAAGAAGCTGGAGCTACCACGAAGTAGTTCTCCAGCTTCTCAATCTTATACTTTCATAGTCTTACATCCCTAGAAACGTCATATTACTCGTCCCGAACTCTCGTCCTCTAAGCTCAACCTTCAGACCCATTATCCAGTATATTCCCTTGTAGGTATTCGCCTAACCATTATTTGAATACGTACAGCAGACGGCGATCTCTAACTTATCTACCCCTCGCCGTAGCAACATGACACTTAAGCTTGCAAGGGTTGATCTCTACTTGTATTATAGTACATGAGTTCAGAGAGACAGAGGAACAATCAAGATTTACACGCGTCACGGCTTTACCTACTGCAGTAGAGACGTGATTTCACCCTGTAATCCCAACATTCTTCTCCGCTCTGCTTTAAGTGATCCTCTTTCTCCTTCAACAGTATTCATGTTAGGATATTTTGAAAGTTGGGTCACAGAGGTGATTATATAGGGAGAGGAATAAACGAACACTGTTGTAAAATAGAACGGTTATGATAGTTTGATTTTTGAATGAAGGTTTATTCGTGACGGACACAAGCCCTGCACTCAAAGGGAATGACACGCAGAATGTTAAAGTTATGAGCTTGAGCGAAGATGGAGGTTGTAGCGGAATCAGCGTCGGCGGTTAGACCGATGCAGTAAGTCTTGTATGAGGTTGTGAGAGGAAGATCCGAGTGGAAACAATTGTATTTAGATGTATGGTTCTGAGTAAGACCAAGATGATAAGAGTGAGCTTGCGTGTTCGCATATCTTATCAACTGTGGTTTTTGACCAGTATTTATCAATCTCCATGGATCGTAAGTTATGATCCATGTAGATGTAGATCTATGTACATACACATATATGGGCCAGGAATACAAAGCTAAATTCATGTGTATTGGTAATAGATACGAGAAAACTATAACCTGCATTTAAGATATAGTCATCCGCTGGAATTTTAGTGTGAAATAAATGCTAATGCGCATTAAACTTTTGGTGAAGGATGTATTGATAACAGTGATATAGAATGGGGAATTTGATAGTCAAATTAGCCGGACTTACTAATAAGTTATTCTTGGCATTCCAAGATATATCATATTTCAACACAGAAGACTAGCTTCTCCGGCGACTATATACAACGATAACTCAGTTTAACATTTGGACTACTCATGTAGTGGGTGCATTCGCTGATACTACTCGAGACCTTGGTGCTAGGGACTTCCACCCTTCCCTCAACCGTTAATATACGCCAAAGGGAAAATAGGAAAAACCTTTGGCTACTACATCATGCCTTTGCCATCATGTATATAGCCACCGCGTGAGATATGGCCTCAGTCCTCCCTTTCTCGAGTGAGGTAGGTATCCAGGCTACCCAGACTTTAATCCGGGGAGGTGACGACCAGGAGGCGGATTAAAACACCTTCCATCGTTGCCTATTTTTAGAGTGTCGGTTGCACTATCCAAAATCGTTGTTTCTGCACCCACAGACAATCTTAGGTCGAAGACATTCAAAAAATGTGCGTCCCAGCATGCCCATTTGTGACCTCTTCACTCGTTCGTCCCACGTCCCAGCTGCCTGTCCTCTGTCAAGATGTGAAGCCCTATTAGAGCAACGGTCCTCCATAGACCAAGACCTGAGCTTTGTAGACTATGACTCGAATTCCTCCTCGCGGGTATACATAGCATCGTAAATGTATAGTGGGAGATGGCCGGTTTTTGATGAGGCAAATGCCCGATTGCAATTGGACTAACGCCATTATCGGTATCTGAGGCGAGGTAGTGTAGTAAGATTGAGATGGAGGAATCGCATGAGAATTATAGGTCAAACACTGACGATAAGTCGTCGATTTTAAATGTGATTGTGAGTGCTTTCGACTTCGAATTGGATGCGATTCTTCTTGGCCATCCCAGATATGCACAGAATACTGAGCGATTACACCGGCACCACTGGAATGTGAAGAATTTGTCTTTGCCGGCAGTTGACTGATGAAGGTGGGATAAAATTTAACTTAGGAAATAAGCTGACTAAGTTTATCACATGACAACTTATTGCCTTTCAACTAAGTGGAGAATCTCTACCATACGATGCACACTCGGCAAGCCTGCGGAAGGCATTGCTTTCATGAGGTTGCTTGTCGAGATCCAAAGCTTTAGTGGAAGCTGAAAAAATACTAATGAAGGTATCTAATACTTGCATTCTAAATGGTTGTGGACATTGATGTGTGGGCAATCACGTATACTATATCCAATTCTTTTTTTTTTTGCATCAGATTTTAATTGCGTATGCAGCTATATAGCTATGACACTATATCAAAGAAAAGTACAGAATAGATGATTCACCGTAAAGGAAGAGCACTCATGCCTCAGATTTCATTTGCAAGTACCACTGCGAAGTTATGGTGGCTTTTTCTTCACCCCAAGTCAACCCTCATTCGTGAATACCCACCCAGGGGAACGTCTCAAAAACCCTGAGTTGTCCAGAAATGCCTCCATCATCTTTCAAATTTTCTCCGCGCGAAATATGGTCTTAGGCGTCTCCTTCCCAAGTGGGGTAGGTGCCCAGGCTACTCAAACTATACCGGAGAACACCACCAGGAGGCGGACTACGGCACCTTACATCGTTGGCTTGTGTTTCTAGTGTCAGCTGCACTCTCGCAAGCAAAGTCTTGGCACGCACAAAGCTCAATTCGTAAAACTCTATGCCAAAATTCGGAATTACACTCCCTTCGAGGCTAAATTCTTCCGTCGCATCATCTTGTAAACTTGTCCTGATCCCTCTCACGTCCATCCCAAAGAACCGTCTCCCAGATTTGTGCGCCACACTTTGTGTCCTCCGTCGGGTATAAATATCGGCGTGGGCGTATATTTGGTGGTCAAGTGAGACCAGAGAAGGTCGGAGAGAGGCGTGGTCATTGGAATGAGGATGTACTAGGTCGTACTTGTAGACTTGATGAGACTTAGGTAGGCTTCAAACTCGTTGGGAGCGGAAAAACGACGTGGTGGAGTCATTTTGATTTTTGCCTCGTGGGCCAATTTCTTTGATATTGCGAAATTTGACTGAACTTGGCTCTGGGAGAATATTTCACTCCCAGGTTCATAGAGGACACCGCGTACAGGTGTTCAGTCTTGCCCTCCTGACCAGTGGTCATGAGGGTTGCCAAAAGGCCAACATTATTGAGTGCTGTTGAAATTGGTGCCACTTGGCATTAAATACCATCTGTGAGAAGATGGTTTTGATTTGATTTTGATTGAATTTAACGTCGTGCCTGCCCATAGCTCGTGACTAATATCATGTGCTGGACGGCCCAATCCCAACATAAGTACCCGACGCTCAAGCACGCACTACAAGATCTAGAAATTACAAAAGAATACGACCAGCTGTCCGCAAACGACCGCAGAAATAACGCGCTCTTGAATCATCGCATTTCACCTACGACATTTCACTGCCACATTTATCTCTCAATCATTCATGCCGCCCCAGTCCTCCGCAGCGGCTGGCTCTTGGCCCCCCCTCCTACCCGTAAATTCGACGCGTCCTGACGTCGAAATGGTCCTTAACGGGCCACAACCGCCATCACAACCACCCACACAACAATTTGTAGAGCCAATCTACGAGGCGAGTCATCCAAACTCACCCATCATCCCAACTCTGTCGCCTCAAGTTGTCGCGACCGAATTCCTCGCCGAACAGGGCAGGATATTCCACACGTGCTCTGCACAAGCCGAGAGCTCTATCATCGGGTTCTGCAAGCTGCTGGAACCAGTCACTGACGAGAGACTTCGGAATCTCTTTGATCAGGACTTACAGGCCCTTCAGGGTAAGATCTTGGAAATTCTGTGGGGCAACCCATCTCAAGCAGACGCCTACGCTCCTGCAAAGGCTGCAAGTGGCCATGCAAACCCATCCCATCCGGCTCAAGTTACAGAGCCTCCTAAACAAAACCCTGCAAGCGTCACAAGTTCAGTGCTGATCCTTGCCAGAGAAAAGAACAGACCGGCACCATCAAAGCCGTCTGCCACAACAGCAACTCCCCAGCCTAACCAGGGCTCGAACATAACCATCAACCAAAACACAGACAAATCTTGGACCGAGGTGTTAAGAAAAAGAAACAAGCCAGCAAATCAAGCGACTCCAACGTCCACAATCAAGACAGTGCTGATGAGGCCCGTCCTCACGCTGAAGTCTAAAGCTCCAGCAACAAACCCCCAATGACCTGATGAGCGCATATTCTTGCGCCTCAGACATGACCATCCGTGGAGAGGCATGTCACCCCACTTCGTAAAAATTAGCCTAGCTAGCTAGCTGCATCTGGCCAACACCACAATTAAACAGGTCGCTGTCGTGAACTCAGGGTTTGCAATACAAGCAGAAGGTGCAAGAGGTGCACTTCTCTCAGGAGGA